TCTGGATTGGTTCCATTGATGATTTGTCCCTGAAGTCAGGAAGTGCCTTGCCAGTAGGGGACTGCCTTTTAAAATTCTTTTGATATTGAACAATGCCCAAGAGTTCAGCACCAAAGGTGTTGAAGTGGTCTACTTATCCTCAAACACAATGTCTCTAATTCAGCCTTGAGATTAGGGGGTCCTAAGGACTTTTAAGGCTCATTGCACATGGTACTCAATGGAAAGGATATTCCACGCTATGGAAGAGAACCCTGATAGAGAGAACATCATGAAAGTCTGGAAGGACTATACTATTGAAGATACCATCATTCTTATAGAAAAAAGCTGTGAAAGCCATCAAGCCCAAAACAATAAATTCCTGCTGGAGAAAACTGTGTCCAGATGTTGTGCATGACTTCACAGGATTTACAACAGAGCCAATCAAGGAAATCATGAAAGAGATTGTGGATATGGCAAAAAAAAAAAAAAAAAAAAGGTGGGGACTGAAGGGTTTCAAGATATGGATCCTGTAGAAATTCAAGAGCTAATAGACACCACACCAGAGGATTTAACAGAAGATGACTTGATGGAGATGAGTGCTTCTGAACTAGAGCCAGACCATGAGGAGGAAGACCTAGAAGCAGAAGCAGCAGTGCCAGAAAACAAATTGACATTAGACAATCTGGCAGAAAGGTTCTGATTATTCCAGACTGTAATTGACTTCTTCTAGGACATGGACCCTTTTTGATATGGGCACTGAAACTAAAGCAAACAGTGGAAGAAGGACTGGTACAGTATAAACATTTTTAGAGAAATGAAAAAGCAAAAAAGTCAGACAGAAATTATGATGTGTTTGCCTCTCCTGCCTCCCCTTCCATCTCCTCCACCTCCTCCCCCTCTGCCACCCCGAGACAGCAAGACCAACCCTCCTCTTCCTCCTCGTCACCCTACTCAACGTGAGGACAACGAGATGAAGACCTTTATGATGATCCATTTTCACTTAATGAATAGTAAGTAATCATCATGCCATACAGTTAATAAACTTATCTGTTGTGTATGTGTGTGAGCATCTTCATGTAAAAATCTAGTAGCTGTATGGCAAGAGCTGTATGAGACATTTTTGTGTCATTATCATCATCATTGCCTAAGTATTCATCCTATAGAACATGTGCGTGCAAGACTTGTATGGAAGTGGGCAGTCTATCTTTACATAGGCATGAGGTGAGTGCTATTTAATATAAAATTAATAATGTGTTAGTTTTATTATTGTTTTATAATTTTGGTTGCAAAGAATTACATTACTGCACAGTACTTCTCTCTCACTCTTGTAACTGGAGAAACTGTCTATCAGCCTATTGTCACAGGTGTCTATTTAAAAATATACATAACAATGTTTCTAATACTGTATTATAAATATGACTGTAATACTGTATGCCATAAAAATTTTAGAATGACTTCTCAATTAGTGTATAGCCTAGGTTACCGTGAAGCAATCGTACTGATTACACTGGGCTGCCATAAAGCAATCATATTGCTGCCTGCTTCATTATCAATGCATGAATCATTATACCTGTAAGTAAATATGAATTTCTTTTTCAATTGTCTTTTCATTTTTGATGTCTAAGTGTAAGTAGTATGTATAACATATACAGTGTTTTGTATCATGTAAGACAATATTGATCTGGGTACTAACAGATAATTTGTCTTGTAAACAGATGATGTATTGATAGAGTATTGTAAATCTATTTTCTCTTCCTTAGGAGATATATATATATATATATATATATTTTTTTTTTTTTTTTTTGTGAGAGAGGAGGAGAGGGAGTGGGGAGCAGGGGCAGAGGGAAAGGGACAGAGAGAATCTTAAGCAAGTTCTACGCCTAGGGTGGAGCCAGGGCTTGATCTCAGGACCCTGAAATCATGACCTGAGCTGAAATCAAGAGTCAGAAGCTTACTGACTAAGCCACCCAGGTGCCCCTCCCTAGGATGTTCTTAATAACATTTCTTTTCTCTAGCTTACTTTATGGTAAGAATACATACACAATAATAACAATTATATATACAATATATATATTAATCAGCTGTTTATGTTATCACTAAAGCTTCCAGTCAACAGTAGGGTATATGTAGTTAAGTTTTTGGGAGTCAAAAATTACACATGGATTTTTGACTGTATGCAGGGTTGGCTTAAGGGTCAACTGTATTTTGAGGCCGATTTTTAGAAGAACTTCAGTGCCAGGCCAAGTAGTATGGTATCTTACCTGACAGGCAGTGGGGAGACTTTGAAAGTTTGTGGACAAGAGAGAGCCAGGACTCAAAGTATGCTCAAGGAAGATTGATCTGATGGGAACTATGGATTGGAGGTTCCTGGGAGTTATTTCTTGAAGTAATCAAAGCCTGAGCCAGGGTGCTAGTGGTAGGAACTGAAAAGAGTGAACAGATGCATGAGATGGGCTTTGGCTACAGAGCAGATTGGTATGTGAGGGAGAGGGCAATGTTAAAGATGGCTGAAGCATCAAATCTGGGTAAGTGGGAGAGCATGGAAGAGAAAGATGAAGCCCAGGAGAAAGAACTGGCTGAAGATAGGAATCTGAAGTGTGCCATTTAGACACATTGGCTAGAGGTAGCAGCTGGCTCTCTAGGCCCAGCAGATTCTCATGGGTGGGGAGACTGTTGAGTAGGTCTGACAGGGCACTGGGTGGGAGCATAAAGGAGAAAAAGCATGGCCATGCAACGTGGAAGGGCTCAGAATTTGACTTCATTCCAAAATATTTTCCTTCTTTGATGGGCCCTATTCTAGGTGCTGGAATTCAGGATGAACAAGGACAGGTCACTGGTTTCATGGAGCTTTTCCTTTTTATAGGGCAATTAATTGGGCCAAATTCTTAGAGCCCTAAACCATAGCTTTCCTTCACTAGTGATCCTTTTCAATGGGGAATAATTCACCATCTGTTCCATCTCAATCTGAAGGACTTCCAGCTCCTTGAGCAATTCTGGACTCCACCCATCCCCCTGCAGAAGTAACTACTAGTCTCACTTCTGTCACTGTAGATTTGTTGTTTGTTTTTGAAATTTAATATACAAACAATCACACGTTTTGGGGGCTTAGTTTGCTCAATACTGTGTTGTTGAATAGAGTAGTAGTTTCTTTTTTTTAAATTATTATTCCTGGGTATTTCACTGCACAAACACCCCACATTCTATGTATCCTTTCTACTACCGGTAGACATTTGGGTTTTCAGTTTGGGGCAATTAAGAATGGATCTGTTATGAACACTTGCATCCATGATATTTGAAGGACAAATGCACTCATTTTTCTTTGGGGTTTACCTAGGAGTGGAATCACTGGGCAGGTAACTATTAAGCATCTGCTCTGTATCAGGGTCTGTGCTGGGTGCTTGATATTAAACGTGAGCAGAACAAACATGGTCCCTGCTCTCATTGATTTTACCAACCAGTGGAATTTAACATAAATAGTCAGACTGAATGACAGAGGAAATAAGTACTCTGGAAAAAAGTAAGATGTAAGATACACTTCAAACTTTGCCAGCACCCAGAGGGCAGCATGTAATCTCTAGGGAGAACCACAGGGCCTGAGCATTACCACGCTCCCTAGAGGCAAATGACTGGTGACCCACTGCTCTCAGGGCTGGACCAGAGGTGGGTTTTGAGTGGGGCTTCGGTGGAAGGAAGTGAGGAGTTCAGCTTGGCGGGCTGAGGGCCCTGCAGGCCCAGTCCTCAGGCCTGGGGTACACTTCTGGCCTTGATCTCTGGTTCTGGAGGTGGTTGGGATAATTGAGAGCTTATGCCCCACTCCCCAAAGACTGGTTTTAGCACATATGCAACCTGCATTTTAATCTTATTCCTTCTGACTGGAAGCATTTGGAAATGGTCCTTGCCCCTGGTTTTAAAAGGTGGCATTATTTTATGAACATTTAGACATTGATTAATAAAATTCCGAACCCATTAACTAATGGGGGAAATGCCAAACTTTTTTGTGTATCCAAGAAAGTAAATGCAATAAAAACTATCCCAAAAGGTAAGTTAAATTATATATAGCCTTTGCGTTTTTTTTTTTTTTCCTCCTGATGGTCCCACCAGATGTTTTAAAATGCAGGACACAGGCCTTTTTTCAGTTTTCTCCAGGGAAAGAAAAGAAAAAACTTGGCTCGGATCTACTAACTTTCAGGAGGAAAAAAAAAAAAAAAAAGAGGTAGGGCGGTAGGAAGTCTGTTGGGAATCCCCAGGGCGCTGGTTCATAAATGTGGCGGCAAGGGGGCAAGATCGTTGTTTCTTTTTTTTACCCACTTTGTCTGACTTAGCCCCGCCTACCATTCCCAGAAGCCCGTGAGGAGTTCCGCTCTGAAGCTTTCGATCTCCCATCAGCGCGCGAGGCCCCGCGGCGGCGGCGGCGGCGGCCATCTTGCTTCTTCCTCGTGGAGCCGCGCGCGGCGGCGGCCATCTTGCTTCTTCCTCGTGGAGCCGCGCGCGGCGGCGGCCATCTTGCTTCTTCCTCGTGGAGCCGCGCGCGGCGGCTTCCAGGCAGGGCCTCGGTTCCGGGGTCCCCGTGGGGGCGCCCAGCCAGTGCCGGACCCTGGTCACGGAAGTGTGGTGTCATCAGCACCCCTCCCCAGCCGCTTTCTCAGGCTCTAGGTTCCTTTTGTAGACGGAGATCTTAATTTTTCGGCCCTCCCTCAACCCCCATCCAGGTTTTCTGGGTCTGAAGGGAAAGAACACAGCTAACAACAAAACCAAAAAACCCCGAGGGATAACTGGAATCCTTCTGGGCCCCGCGGTCTCATCCAGCTCCTGCGGTGGTGGCGCCATCACTGCCACGAAGTGGAAGCTGGGCTCGAGGAGAACCACCTGCCCGGAGGGACGTGCCAGGGGAGTGTGGCGGGATCCCTCGGGGCTGGCGGGGCTGGCGGGGCTGGCGGGGCTGGCGGGGCTGGCGGGGCTGGCGGGGCTGGCGGGGCTGGCGGGGCTGGCGGGGCTGGCGGGGCTGGCGGGGTGGGAACAGCCTCTCCCCAGCAGGGGCACGCGGACCGACGTTTGTTCCTCCGTGTGACCTTTCCTTTGTGACTGTCCATCTGGGAAGCGTAAATAATCATACGCGCGCATCAGTACCAACAGCGGGGCATGGACCTGGAGATGGCTGGCAGGATGATCTGGCTTCATGCAGTCAGCTGATGTGCCACTGCCATCTGTTTGTTTGTTTGTTTGAAGTAGGGAAGGAAGTTTTATCAAGTAACACCCTCCCTCTCCCCAGCTAGGAAACACCCAGGATTCTAACAGGGAGTCCTGGGTAGGGACAGGGGAACAGGCAGAGAAGAGGAGATGAAGACAACCAGAAGAGGCTGGGGTGAGACAGGGCAGTGAGGAAGAAGAAAACAAAACAACAAAAAAAAGAGGCTCTGCTGCTAGCTGATATTATGACCTTGGGAGAATCCTTTCATCCCCCTGAACTTGGCAAAAATGAAGAAACTATATAGCATATTGCTTAAGCGGTGGGCTCTAAGGCCAAACCCTGGATTCTTCTCTACTCTACTACTTCCCAGCTGTGTGAGCCTGGGCAATTACCTTATGCTCTCTGAGCTAGTTTCCTCACCATTTAAATGGGCATGTTAGAGTTGTCATGAGATTTAGACAAAATAAGGAAAGCACTTAGTAAAGGACTTGGCACATATTAAATGTTTAATATATTAGCTATTGTTCTTATCTGTCTCCAGGGTAGGCTAATGGAATGCACACAGACAATATTTTTATCTTGATCTCATATATATAACAGCTCATATATTTTTTTGTTTATATCATGCATGCTCAAGTTCTTTAATATATAATGGCTTTTCATGAGAATCCTAATATCTTGCCTTATTTGTTTTAAGGTTATTGTGGGCAAATGTTTTAGAGGAAAGGGAGATGAACCAGATAGTGATACACTATCGTTTCCTACACAAATAAAATAGTTTATTGTAGATGTTAGGATTTAGCACTTATTACATATTTTGAAGACTGTTAATTTCCTTCTCCATCTTTCCACTTTTATTCTAGATTTCTTCTTGGCACAGCCTAGTTGTTGCTGTATTAATAACCCAGAAATCTCATTGGCTTAACATAACACAAGTTTACTTTTCATACACATGATATGTCCTGTGTGAATTGGCAGAGGCTTGCTGCACATTGGTCTCTCAGAAACTCAAGATGGAGGCTCCATATTCATGTGCCTCCATGTTCACCACTGCTGGGGGAAGAGAATGTCTCATATTATGCACTGGTCCTTAAGGTTCCACTAAAGTAACACAAGGGCAGTTCTCTGAAGCTGAACTGCTTCATTAAGTGCCGAGTCTTCCTTTTCTAGATGTGATTTTTCTTAGTTATCTACTCACCTTTTTCTTGAGTTGGGTTTCGGAGAAAGTATGGTAAAAATAATAAGCCAATGGTGATTTTTTCCCCCCAGCATTAAATTAGGGCCCTTTTTACTCTCACAAGGGATTTTGGTACCAGTGAGAGGAGGACGTATTTTATTTTCTCAAAGTTTCTCCCTCTTCACTCATTTTCAATGTACTGTTTTCCTAAATTCCTGGTTTTCTGAAATCCTCAAGGAAAGAAACATGAAAGATTCACACTCTGTCATCATCACCTACTACAAAAACTTGGTTGGCATGTGGTTATCTCCCACATTCAACCCAAACTACCCCTGTGTGGTAGCCTAGGCAAGTGAGATGCTTTCAGGGGTCTGACCCACCTCTTCATTTCATGCACCTAGTCAGAATGGCTGTGGAATGGGTATGACAGGAGAAATGGACATCGGTAAAGCAGATGGGTCATTCACTCAGCAAACATTAATTGAGCACCTAGTATATGCTGAGCACTGGGCCAGTTCTTCTAAGTCACCATAGTGATTCAGTTGGACTCTGATCTTAGCTAGGGAAGAAAGCAAGTATGGGTTTTCCCAGAGAGCAGTCTGATGCAGTGTGACCCTATGACTTCTCCACCTTTGTAACATACACTGTCTGCTCAGGAAGATTTATCTACTGGTGGATTCTGGAAGGATCCCAAACTCACCATGCTCACTGTTGCTAGCCAAGCTTCCGTTACTTCCCTCCCTCCACCAAGACTCAACGTCAATCCAGATCCTACCCATCTTTGGAAGTCAGCTGAAGACTTATGCCTTTTCTCAGCTCCGTAGGCTTCCAAAATTCATCCAGCTCCTATCTTCAGAAACCTTATTGGACACACCATCTCTGCAACTTGTTTGGACAACTATCTAATATGTTTTATTACTTAAACATTTTATTTTGGGGGGCTAGTATCTTTATATCAGGTTTCTTTAAGCTTTAAGAAAAGGATCTTGTTTCTTCTTGAATTGATGGATAAAAAATGACTATCCCATAGAAGGTATTCAATGGCTAAATTCCGCTCAATGTCTAGTCTTTCAGTAATAGATGTTTGATAAGTACACATCAAATAGAAGTAAACTTGACATTGCTCTTTTTTCTTTTTCAAGGAAGATGGAAAGAGAAGCTATGACTGCCCTTATTCCTATGGCTTTGCCTCCTTGCTTTCTAGCTTGGGCACATGAGAATTTTCAAGGTAGTTTAGGTGGTTGTAAAGCAAGATCAATACAAGTCAGAGGATGCTAACCACTATTGTGTCTAAACACTGACATCTGGGATGCCAGGTCTTCGGTTCTTTCATTTGTCATCATCTTTTTCAGGCACTTTGGTGGGCAAAGATCATGGTTCACTTTTTTTAACCACTAAGATGTGGAGAGAATAAGATGGATGCAAAAGATGAATTCAAGCAAAGTTTATTATAAAATTATATGAGGAATTTGATGTCTTTACTAAAACCTATTACAAAATGTGTGTAGTTTTCGCAAGGGAAAAAAGTCTTTAATTGCGTCAAAAAACTGTAGAAACAAGGGGGTTGAAGTGACATGCATGAAGGGAGTCTTCTTGGTCTTGACCAATTAATTTTGCAGCCCGTTCTTAGTTCCTGTTTCTGAGTGGCCCCTCCTCAGCCTCCCATGCATGAGGATTTACTGGTGCCCTGATTCCATAACTTAACTTTCTTCCTCTCGTTTTCTTTTGGGCACTAATATCTAATGGAGTTAGGCTGCAATAACACAGTTTGTCCCTGTCTAACATGCAGTGTTATGTCTGAGCGTTTTGACTGAGCAGAATAAATTAGTGTCTTGTTTTATTAGTAGTACAAGTTCAGAAGAGTAGGTTTATTTAAAGTGAGAGATAAGCTGCATAGTAAAGGAAAAGACTGAATGAAAATGTCACTTGTTGAAAGAAGTTGCTTAGTTTTCTGCCACTCTCCCACTGGGCCAAGCTTCCTCCTTACCGGGATCTATGTGCAGGCAGTTTTCAATATCCTAAGCAAGAAAATGGATCATATTTTCAACTCCATTATATGCCTTCTTCCTCATTTCTGATCTTAAGGGCAGTGTAGAAAATTATCGTTCTTCATTATTTGAGGGGGGTGGTTGTGATCTTTTCTTCTTGGAAGTCCCCATCTCCGGCTCAGCAATTCCTCCAACTTTCCTGCTCTTATGCTCCCCCTCCCCCCACTCAGTTCATTTGACCCCACTCGGAGGCCTTAGAGAGGCTTCCAGTGGCTCTGCAAAGGAGGCCTGAGGGTCTCACCTTCTGTTCTGAAGGCTAAGGCTTCTTCTCTTATTCTGCACAATTCCCTCCACTCTGAGTCTGATTTCCCTCAAGACATACCTAGTCTCAGTGTTCCAGCCACTGTTTTCTTCTTCCCACACTTCTAGAAATTTCCCATTGTTTTATGAGGCCTTTCCCAACTGCTTGGGAACAGAGTGGCTCTCTCTCCTGGAAAGTCATCAAGTGGCTTCCCTGCCACTCATTACTTCTTACCTAATAAGAATGATAATAGTAGAGATAATAGCAATTGCTAACACTTATATAGCACTTATGTGCCCTTCACAGCCCTAAGCATTTTACATAAGCTAACTGATTAAATTTGGCCACAATCTTTTGAGGTGGTTTGATGGTTACTTTTTTTTTTTTAAATTTTATTTACTCACTTGACAGAGAGAGAGAGAGCGAGAGAGAGAGCGAGCACACAAGGAGGCAGAATGGCAGGCAGAGGGAGAAGCACACTCCCCGCTGAGCAAGGAGCCTGATGTGTGGCTCCATCCTAGGATCCTGGGATCATGACCTGAGCCGAAGGCAGATGCTTAACCTACTGAGCCACCCAGGTGCTCCTGATGGTTAATTTTATGTGTCAACTTGGCTAGGTGAGGGTCCCCAGATAGGTAGTCAAACATCACTCTGGATGTTTTTGTGAGGGTGTTTTTCATGAAATTAACATTTAAATCCATGGACTTTGAATAAAAACCCATAATTGGGTGGGCCTCATCCAATCAGTTGAAGGCCTGAATAGACCAAAAGTCAGGCCTCCCCTGAGCAAGAGAGAATTTTGCCAGCAGATAGTCTTCAGACATGAACTGCAACATCGCTCTTCCCTGAGTCTCCAGCCTGCTGGCCCACTCTGCAGATTTTGGACTTGTCAGCCTCCATAACTGTATGAGTCAATTCCTTAAAATCTCTTTCTATATATAGAAATAGGATTTATACATGTCTTATTAGTTCTATTTCTCTGGTGAACCCTGACTGATACCAGTGTGTATTTTCATGATTATTCTATTTTACAGATGTGACAACTGGGGCACAGAGAAGTTAGGTAACTTGCCCAAGGTCATCAGTACTAGTAAGTGGTACAGTTGAGATTCTATCTGACTCCTGGGTGTATACTTTTCACCATGAGATTAAATATATGCCATTTATATTGTATTCAGAGTTGTTTATCAGTCTCTTTTATATATGTTTTATTTTTATTTTTTCTGGATTATTTATGTTTTCCTTTTGTCAGTTTTGAGTAAGCTGAATCTGCCCATCTGATGAATGTGACATGTAGAGAACCAGCCTAGACTTTTGGAAGAGTTTAGGGCAGTTGCATGAATGGTGCTCGCTGTAAAGGCAGTTAGTGATTCAGATTGTCTGCTTCTTGACCATTTTCCTTTCTTTCTGATCATTATCTCAAAACTAAGATCCCGTAATTTCACTACTGGACAAAATTTTAGGCAGTGTTTTAGAATTGTATTTTGGTTTCCCTAAGCAAATATTTCAGAATAAAAGATAGTCAACATTTTAGGAGAGTTGGGTCTTTAGAGGTTTAAGTGTATATGATACACTTTCTGTAAATTGTAAAGCATAAACACTAATAGGGGTTAAAACCATCCTTGCTATTTTGAAGCAAACAGAATCCCTCCAGGAAATAGAACTGGGCCACCGAGTCTGAGGAGACCCCAAGCTGTGGAAACAGTGTCCCCCCCTTGGCCCTTTGATGGAGTCTCATTTCCTCCGGGTGAAAGTGTGGGAGCCGGTTTCCTACTGTAACATTCACGCTTGCTCTTCCTTATGCATCGTCTCAATGGAATTGTATTTAAAGTAAGTCCCCAATGAAGGCATTTTGTTTCTAAAAGTCAGTGAAAGCTCTGTGACTTCAACAGCTCTGTTGGCACCTTTGTTCTTGGAGCAGTTTTCATTTTCCATTGGCACCATGTGATTGTTTCCGCAGGCATTTTCTTTTATTTTCTGAGGTACCAGGCAGAACCAGCAGGGGAGAACGGGCGCCCAGTGGGAGACCTCTCTGTCTGTCTCTTTCTGTCCATCAGTCTCTGTTTCTCTCTCACACATACACACACACAGAATCTTCTTTAAGCAGTTTACCACAGCACCATTTTCAGCCTTTCAGGCTATCAGGCACCAGAGTGTTTAAAGTTTTAATAGGCTTAGAGGTGACTCTAGAGTCTACCAACATCTGCATTCATCTGTAATTTATGACTGCCTCTTATTTAGTTGGTTTAGTAAATTGTACCTAAGAGTATTCTTTGAGACTTGGCAGCCTGGTGTACAGTTTCACGATTCAGCTGTGTTTTTGCCAACTATTTGGCTCCCCCCTCCTTTCTTTTGGATGACATTCTCAAATACTTAATTTGGAGCTTTGGTCTGGAACACACTTTATCAGACACCTTTTGCGTGCCAAGAGACCCCTTATACATTCTGGTAAGGCTAACTTTCCACATGCTAACACATTTATTTCTAAATCGTTTTTAAAGCCACCACATTTCCAAATAACAGAAGGTAAAGTGTGGTACATTTAGACCACTTGGTTCTTGTGGCCTCGTTTCTCTCCGCATCCTCCATTTTAGTTGAGGGGAAATTCTTCTCTAAGCAGAGAGGTGAGGGTGATGGTACCTAACCAAAACATAAAATTAGTATCTATTGCAAAAGACATTTAAAAGGGCTTACTTTGTTATGAGGTATGTGAGGACATGTTTTGGCCTTACTTCATGTGCTCAGTCTAACCGTGCCCAAAAGATTAAATCAAGGCTTTTATGGGTATAATTTATTTCTCTTTCAAGTCTGTCATCATGCATGTAGATTTGGGATGTTGTGTTTTCCCACTTTGAGGGGTAAGGTTTATATCTGGCAAACACAGATTTAAGGCCATCTATGAAAAGTCCCTGAGGCAATTTGTTTACAGGTTTTGCAGAATTTGATTTTCTAACTGAATCTGTGACTAACTTACTACTCCCTTTTCCTTTCAATAAGCATTATGGAGAACTCAACTCTCTAGGACTGAACTCCCAGTTGTGTTGTTGCCTCCCAACAAGAGGTGTAATTTGTCTGTATTATGATTAATACTCTGTAATCATGTAATCTTCTAGGCAAATGGGAATCTTAAGACAAAATTTGCAATGAATTAGATCCTCCGCTCACACCATTAATCTTCTTTTAAGGTCTGAGGAGGGATTAGCGGTTAAAATAAATCTTTTAACATTCTTTTTTTTTATGAGTGGTGAATAACCACCTTAACCCTTTGTGATGGGGGTTGGAAATTTAGGTTGAAGTGTGAAATATGAACTTCCCTCTACGTTTCCTTCAGGATCCACGTCTTCTCCATCCCATTTACGCGGTGGGCCAACTGAGAAGTGTCTGAGGCCACATGAGGAGTCTGCTCTGCAACCCACCCACATTCTGTGTTGCTGCCTCTCGCTCTTGTCTCCTGGTGCAAAGATGCTGATATAAATACAGTTCTGTATTTATACATAGCCAAGGTATGGGCACGGCGTGTCTACGATCCTTGATTCTTTTTGAATCTGATCATTTTCCTCTTGTGCATCCCTCCTGCATACCAGGACCAGAGAAATTGTCATGAGGCCATGACAAAGGACACTCAAAGGTGCTTGAATAAGAAATAAATGGAATAAGCACATTTTCCTTCTGCTCTGTGGCCCCCAAACGGCAAGCCCATACAGAAGCTCCTGCCACCACATGTTTATCTATAGCCTTGAAGGCACAAGGTGCCAGGGTCGGCCTTCCTGCATGGTCTGGCCTCTTCCTTCCAACCACAGGCCTTCCAGGGCAAGACATGCAAGAGGGAGGCTGACTTCAGTGGTATTTTTGTGGCTATAGCTAATGCAAACATGTAATTATTTTGTTAAAAGTGCCGCTAAGCCTCTTATTTTGCTAGAAACTAAGTGAGTGCTCAAAGATGAATGGAGACATGTCAAAAAGCCAGCTTGAAAGGGCTCCTACTGAATGATATGGGTTAATTTAAGCATAATAGTAAATAATGATAATAATGGATTATAACACATTGAGTAAAATAAAAATCTGAGTTCATACTGACACAAGTAAAAATAATAAATAAGGGAAAAATACATACCAATAATTATAGAACCCAAACAATCAAAAACACTAAAATAGAATGTCATGTAATAAATACAGAAAGAATGATGGACAGAAAATTAACAATTGATGCTTAAGCTAGCAAGTGAAAGTTTGATGAGAAACAGGATGTTTTCATGATCTCAAAGTGTCTCTCCAGAAATTATTTATTAATTACATAGGGGAAAATAGTCATTCTACAGTGGAGAAATCTGGTGGACATCACTTTATCCAGGTGATCAAAGTCAATGTCACAATAATGGGACAAACTAATAGTATGTGCTTCTTAATATGGCGCACTGAGAAGGGCACAGAATCACTCTGGGACATTTCTGCCAAAATGCAGACGCAAACATCATTCAAACCCAAACTGAAGAGCATTCAGTAAAATAACTGGCCTGTAGTCTTTGACAGTGAACAGGTCTACAAAAACAAAGGCTGGAGGAGTGTTCCCAATTGGAGGTGACTATGGAGACATGACCACCAAATGCATTGTGTGTTTCTGGAGTGAATCCTGGAATGGCAGACAGTTGGCTATAAAAGTACATTTGGGGGAACTTTGACACACTTTGAAAAGGGGCTGTGGATTAGATAATAGAATTACATCAAAATTAAATATCCTTATTTTGAAAATTGCACTGTGGTTTTGTAACAATGTCCTTGTTCGTAAGAAATATATGCTGAAGCCGTAAGGGGTAAAAGTATATGATGTCTTCAGGTTATTCTCAAATGATTCAAAAAATGATGTGCATCTATATGTGTAAATACATATACACACATTTGTGCACATATATAAATATATACACACATACATGCATATATATATATGCACACACACGTATACACACATCTATCTATTGACCTATCAAAAGAGAGAATGACTGGGATGCCTGGGTGGCTCAGTCGGTTAAGTGTCTGCCTTCAGCTCAGGTCATGATCCCAGGATCCTGGGATGGAGCCCTGCATCAGGCTCTTTGCTCAGCAGGGAGCCTGCTTCTCCCTCTGCCTGCCGCTCCCCCTGCTTGTGCTCTCTCTCTCTGACAAATAAATAAATAAAATCTTTAAAAAAGAGAGAGAATGATAAAGCAAATGGAATAAACAATTGTTACGCAGGGTAAAGCGTATATGGGGTGTACCTTGTGCTGTTTTTACAACCTAAGCTTCAAATCATTTTAAAATAAAAAGTTACAAAAAGTACTTATAAGAATAAATGATTAAATTTGATATCAGCAAACAACTTGGGAAACTCATTGCTCTTCCACACTTGGTCTCTGTCTGAACCTACTGGCTACTCTCTGCTCGCTGCACAGAGCCAGGGCAAGGAGTCTTTTACTAGAACTCTGGGTTGTTCTACTGAGACCACACACTCATCTCCTGTAAGTAAAACAAGAGCAAGCATCCCTGGCACCTCTTGCCTCTCCAGTCCTGCAGTGAGGGAGGAGAAGGTCCTACCCCAGGGGTGGGAGAGGTTCTCACCACTGAAGGCAGGGCATGGCACGCTGATGGCAGAGGTGGGAGCACCCTCTGGTGGTCCCTGAAGAATGCTGGGTCAGGGAAGGCTCAGCAATCATGACAAGAGGTTGCAACAGCAATCACAGAAGGGCATGGGTACTCCAGAGAGAGGACTCTGGGGGCTATTGCTTATAGCCCCAGCTGGGTGCTGTCTTGGCAAAGGTAAATAGGCATTCATCAGGCAAAAAAGTCACGCATGGACACAGGACCCACCAATCCCTGCAGATGTTATCTCTAAACCCAGTCACACTCAAACATCGCTTTTGTGCCTTAACTCAAACTACTGTTTTCCACAAAATTAAATGACCTTACTTAAAATTTAGCATCTAGAGGTATCAACAAGCTTAAGGGTTTATTCTGGACCAAAAAGAATGCGCATAGCTGAAATGTAGTATTGGCTTGGCCTTAGGCCCCACAATAAAATATTTTCCAGTTCACTGGTTATTGATGGGGAGACACAATATTTGCAGTCCAGATCATTGTCCATGTCAATCGCTAACATTGAATGTATCAGTGTAAGCTAGGGTGAATATTAGCTGCTATTGTTTGGGGGGGGGGGTGCGGTGGGGGGGGGGAGGATGGAGGAGGGGCGGGGGGTAGATTTGTAGCCGGGATATAGAAATGAGAGAATTTGGGGAATCAAGAGATTTGCAAGTGTTCTGGAAAAAGAACTAGCAAATTTTACCTCCTGAATATATTTCACCTGTTTTTCTGGAGCTTGCTTCCTTTCATAAAGGATCCAGAGTGATTTGCAATAAGAAAATCTTTCTTGCAATAAGAAATCTTTCTTGCAATAAGAAAATCTTCAGTATCCTTACAGGTAATAATAATGATAGTGGTTTCTCTTCACTGGGCCTTCAAGGCATAGCAGGAACTAGGCTATCCCACTGAACCCTCGCTGCCACTCTAAGAGATAGCACCGCTTTAGGAGAAGGATTCAAATCTTGTCCGTCACTCCATCTGCACTTAACTGTGTAAACGTTATGGAGAAGCCTGTTGGTGGGCCCCAGTTTTAGATAGAATTGTGTCTACCTACCTGTGGGAGCAATGCTGCTGGAAAGCTCATCTCTGCAGATTTTCTCCTGCAGGATTAATCCCCACTTAGCTGTCATATCATGGATAGACTTTGATTTTATTTTGGCAAGAGCGCAGTATTTAAACACACAAACAAGCATTTCCTTTCTTTTCCCTTGATACGCAAACATTCCATTGCAAAGTCAGCTACAAAAACTGCCATTTCCAGAAACAGATTTTTAAATAAAGATGTAACCTTCAAATCTTGATGGGCAAACACTGTACAAGTTAAAAATAGAAGACTTAAAGATTAACTAAGTAAAATGGAAGAAAAAAATGAAAATCAGTCTGTATTAGTTTCCTTCCACAACGAGAAATTTATTCTTTCACGGTTCTGGAGGCTGGAAGCCCAAAATCAAGGTGTCAGCAGGGTCATACCCTCTTTGAAGGCTCTAAGATCCTTCCATGCCTCTTTTAGCTTCTTCTGGTGGTTGTTCATAATTGTTGGCATCGTCTGGCTTGTAGATGCATCGCTCTAGTGTCTGCTTCCCTCTTACGTGGCCTCATCCTCCGTGTGTCCATGTGTCTGGAGTTCCCTCTCTTTATTAGAATACCAGTAATTGGATTAGGGCTCACTGCTGTCTAGTATGTCCTCATCTTAATGAGACTGCATCTCCAAATGAGGTCACATTCACAGATATCAGGGGTTAAGACTTCAGGATGTCTTTCTGGGGGACATGATTCAACCCACAACACAACTCAGTATTTTAATAGGGAAAAAAATATGACCAAAGTTCTATTAAAAGGAAATAAGAGCCAAATCCCTGAGAGCAACATCTGCATTTGCTGCACGCTCCATTTATATTTTGGCACCTGCAGTTCAGTCCTTTCTTTGCTCTGACCTGCAGATGAGCAAGGGTGGACATTCCATTGACCTGAGCCTAGAGGCCACAGCCAAGTGTGCACTCGCCCAATTATCACTCTTAGTTGCATATTTGATTTTCAGAAATATAAGGCAACCTTTCAGGTAACAAAATAGGTAGTTTTCAATCTAGTGACAACACATAGCAGCACCATGTTCGTGGGGTTGAGTCTGTAAAGAAGAGTCAAGGAGATACACTTACATAGCAGATCTAATCATCTAATTGATTATTTTGTCAAATTCCAAAATTTAGAGCAAAAAAAAAATCTACCTGTGTGCTCAGCCCCCTGATGGAACTCCCTCCTGTGCTTGTATTAATATAATTGCTGAGTTGTCTTAACCCTATACTGAAATGATACATCCTCCAGCTCTGCTGATATGGTATAAGGAACTGAGCATTTTCAAGTTCGTGACCAAACCCATGACTGAATCTTTGAATTGTTGATGCCACTCTTTTTGCAAGAATTGAATCAGATATGCTATTCCATTTGCTGCTTGGTATTCCACGTAGGGATGGTCCAAACTCCCTATTTTGTTGTCTATTCACAACAAAATTGGGAATGTCCCCCCAGCAGCTGATCCTCAGTAGATGCATTGGGGAGTAAAGATCCAGTGCCACCCACAAATAAATCTGGATGGAACTATTTATTCAGAAGAAATACTTCAAACACGTGACCCACATAAAGCTAACAAATACAGAGTCAGTGTTTTACTGCAGACTCTGGTTTAATATATTGAAAACATTCAAACCCAAATGTCAGGAAAACAAAGTTTTACTCTGACTCAAGGGCCAAGGCTTATATTTTAATGTAGTTAGTGATGAATGATGGTAAATAACTCTCAGTTTTCATCTTTGTTCACCAAAGGAACACTCTCATGCCTGTAACCATTGGATTGGCCCTGAAGAGAAAACTTCCCTAAATGCTGCACTGGGCAGCA